AGGTCACAAAACAGGTGCACCTCTATAAAATAAGAAAATTATTTGAAAAAGCAAATATTTACAGCTACAAATTTACTGCAAAACCCTCCATCACTATAAAATGGGAGGCCCCAACGTACCCTGGAGCCTAGCCTTAAAATGAAGGAACTAGCCAACTTTCTACTATAGAATAGGAACCCCCAACCCCCTGTATCTTACAACATCCAAAAATGAATGGTTTTTGAGGGGTTGGGTGCTCTGATTTTATAGAGATTACATGCCCTTCCTGGTAGGATTTCCTGGGGTTGGGGGTTTCCATTTTATAGTGCCGCAGCCTTCCCACATCCTCCCACCATCATCGCCCCAAAGACACCACATTTTTCTTTAGCCCGGCACGTCCCAAAGCCAAGGGATGCTGACACAAAGACCAAGACTTATTTTCTGGTAGTTTTCCATTGGTCCCATGCTGTCCCATGTCCCAAAAGCCAAGGGATGTCGACAAAAAGACTGGTATCGACGGAGCTGGGTATTTTGGGGCAGCTGGGTATTTTTTGGGTGGGATGGAGATAGTTTTCCATTTTATAGTGGTCCCATGCTGTCCTATGTCCTGTCGACAGAGCTGGGTATTTTTGGGGCAGCTGGGTATTTTAGGGTAGGATGGAAAAAATTTTCCATTTTATAGTGGTCCCATGCTGTCCCATGTCCCAAAAGCCAAGGGATGTCGACAAAAAGACTCCAAGCTGGGTATTTTGTTGTGTCGACAGAGCTGGGTACTTTTGGGGCAGCTGGGTGTCTAACGCTTACCCAAATGCACCTTCCACAATCCCTACAGTTGCACCGTATAAACGGTTTTCCTCGTTTCTTCCATGTTTTTTTTTTCTGTGCTTCTACTCCATAGTGGTCACACATCGAAACAGCAAGTTTTCCATTGCTTTTCCATTGTTTCACGCATGCTTTACGTCGTAAACTTTACCAATAATGGTCCCACATCGGAGCCTCAATTTTACTTGGCATCATTTTACCCTCTCCCTATTCTTTCCACCGTTTCCATTGCTTTCCAATTTTTTTTTCCATTGTTTTATGTCAAAGTCCCTCCTTTTTTCCATTGTTGTTCTCATCATTTTCCCCTCCTTTCCCATTTTTTTCCCATTGTTGTCTGTCATATTCCCTCATTTTTTCTACTGTTTTTCTCATCATTTTCCCCTCCATTGCCAGCATCCCATCTACCCCTATTTTCCACCATACTTTTCACCCAGAGACTCTTCAATACATTTCACCCATATACTTTTCACCCAGAGATTTTTCACCCAGAAACTCTTCTTGCACAGACTTTTCACCCAGAGACTCTTCACCCAGAAACTCTTCGTGCACATACTTTTCACCCATATACTTTTTACCCATATACTTTTCACCCAGAGATTCTTCACCTAGAAACTCTTCTTGCACATACCTTTCACCCATATACTTTTCACCCAGAGACTCTTCTTGCACATACTTTTCACCCATATACTTTTCACCCAGAGACTCTTCACCCAGAAACTCTTCTTGCACATACTTTTCACCAATATACTTTTCACCCAGAGACTCTTCACCTAGAAACTTTTCTTGCACATATTTTTCACCCATATACTTTCACCCAAAGACGCTTCTTGCACCTACTTTTCACCCATATACTTTTCACCCAGAGACTCTTCACCCAGAAACTCTTCTTGCACATACTTTTCACCAATATACTGTTCACATTTTTTCACCCAGAGACTCTTCACCCAGAAACTCTTCTTGCACAGACTTTTCACCCAGAGACTCTTCACCCAGAAACTCTTCTTGCTCAAACTTTTCACCCATATACTTTTCACCTAGAGACTCTTCACCCAGAAACTCTTCATAGTGGTCACACATCGAAACAGCAAGTTTTCCATTGCTTTTCCATTGTTTCACGCATGCTTTACGCCGTAAACTTTACCAATAATGGTCCCACATCGGAGCCTCAATTTTACTTGGCATCATGTTACCCTCTCCCTATTCTTTCCACCGTTTCCATTGCTTTCCAATTTTTTTTTCCATTGTTTTATGTCAAAGTCCCTCCTTTTTTCCATTGTTGTTCTCATCATTTTCCCTCCTTTCCCATTTTTTTCCCATTGTTGTCTGTCATATTCCCTCATTTTTTCTACTGTTTTTCTCATCATTTTCCCCTCCATTGCCAGCATCCCATCTACCCCTATTTTCCACCATACTTTTCACCCAGAGACTCTTCAATACATTTCACCCATATACTTTTCACCCAGAGATTCTTCACCCAGAAACTCTTCTTGCACAGACTTTTCACCCAGAGACTCTTCACCCAGAAACTCTTCTTGCACATACTTTCACCCATATATACTTTTTCTTACCCAGAGAAATCTTCTGCACATACTTTCACCAGATATTTCACCAGAGACTTTCACCACTTACCTTCTTGACTTTTCACCCAGAGACTCTTCACCCAGAAACTCTTCTTGCACATACTTTTCACCCATATACTTTTCACCCAGAGACTCTTCACCTAGAAACTTTTCTCGCACATATTTTTCACCATATACTTTCACCCAGATACTCTTCTTGCACCTACGTTTCACCCATATACTTTTCACCCAGAGACTCTTCACCCAGAAACTCTTCTTGCTCAAACTTTTCACCCATATACTTTTCACCTAGAGGCTCTTCACCCAGAAACTCTTACATATAATGGTCCCACATCGGAGCCTCAATTTTACTTTTCACCCATATACTTTTTACCCATATACTTTTCACCCAGAGACTCTTCTTGCACATACTTTTCACCCAGAGACTCTTCACCCAGAAACTCTTCTTGCACATACTTTTCACCAATATACTTTTCACCCAGAGACTCTTCACCTAGAAACTTTTCTTGCACATTTTTCACCCATATACTTTCACCCAGAAACTCTTCTTGCACATACTTTTCACCCATATAGTTTTCACATCTTTTCACCCAGAGACTCTTCACCTAGAAACTCTTCTTGCACATACACTTATACTTTTCACCCAGAGATTCTTCACCCAGAAACTCTTCTTGCACAGACTTTTCACCCAGAGACTCTTCACCCAGAAACTCTTCTTGCACATACTTTTCACCCATATACTTTTTACCCAGAGAATACTTTTCACCCAGAGACTCTTCACCTAGAAACTCTTCTTGCACATACTTTTCACCCATATACTTTTCACCCAGAGACTCTGCACCCAGAAACCCTTCTTGCACATACTTTTCACCCATATACTTTTCACCCAGAGACTCTTCACCCAGAAACCTTCATTTTTTTCCAGTGCTTTTCCATAGTTTTGCTCGACATCATTTTCCCGCCCAGATCCACCTCGGAGGGCGGACCAGGGGGGAATCGATACCCCAACGTCACCCAATTGCCACCTGGTACATAACCCTAAAAAAGTTTACCTGCGTCCGCCTTTTTTACCACCTATTTTCCGCATTTTTATCCCACTTCGGGCGCTCTGCCCCCAGACCCCCTTAACTCACTTTGTTCGCAAAAATAACTTCGCCTAGCCTAGCGGCTGGCTTTCGTGAAAAATCAAATTCATATCAACGTCAATGAAATGACCGCTTGTTGCATCGAGCTTGAGCAAAGCTCTGTCGGCTATTCCGGGACTCAACAGCACCACTCCACGGCTTATCGGTGCCAAGAGCTGTTTCACTTTTTCGGCTCCAGCAGCGACCGACTGTTCTGAATTGTTTTGGGTGATCGTGTAAAAGCAGCTGGCACATTATGTAAGAACACTGAAGTAGAACATCTTGAGAAACAGTTCAGAAATTGCAAACCGTGTCTTTGCATGTCTTAGCAAGTACAGGCCGTTGAGCATTGATCAGGCTGTGGAAAAAACAACAACTCACCTCATCTCACCTCTTTGGAGCGGAACAACAAATGTCGCGCACAAACGCGTCCCCGCGTCCGCCACTTCCCTTTTCAATCCCTTCGAATTAAAATGTCTGTGTCTGTGTATGATGCAAAGCATCAGGAGACAGTGAGAGCGGTTCTTGAATCCAAGGTTGGAACATGTTGCAACTGTCATTTCTGCAGCGCTCTTAGTTTGCATTGGCGTCCACTTGTGAGGCCTCAAAACACTCGTCAGCCCGCCGTCTCCAAAAGCATCAAGAGCTGCTGGCATCTAGCGCCATCAAACTATGGGTCATTGCCCTCATAAATAGTTCATGAATTGGGAGTGTTCGGTGGCTCATGATGTACGAAGCAATGACTGCAAATGTGGAGGCATTCCCTTCCAAATCGAAACCAAAATCAAGAACCCGTCCTGCACTGCTTCATTATCATGTTCCGAAATGCAATTGCCATGTTCGGAAATTAATTTCATCTACTCTGATCAATGAATGATTGGCCATCCTGCATCACGATTTGACCTAGACATCTGAGATCATCTGAGCATCTCCGCCGCAAATCCTTTGCATGGAAGACAGGTGCTTCAGGACGGTTGCGGCGTAAAGAGTTCGCGAAACCTCGGTTTGTTCAAACAGAGCTGTGGCAGTTTTAAGGATGTGTTTGAGGTTGATTGAGCATGTTTTTCTTATCGTGTGGACTTGGCTAGGTTTTGTAAATTGATGTAAATTGTTTCCTGCCATTTCTATCTAACAAGTGGGAATGCTTTGTGCCATTTTGTGCCGCTCTACTGATACGTCCATGGATGTTGTTTTATCTTGATGACAATCGTTGTTTTATCTTGATGACAATCGTGGCCCATCTTGTTCCATAGATTCACTGAACATGCACGTATGAAAGGCGACCATTTCAGCAACTTAATCCTCACTCTTGCTATCACCATGATCATCATCACCGCCACCACAACCACCACCATTGTCATCACCATCATCGCCGTTGTCGTCGTCGTCGTCGTCGTCGTCGTCGTCGTAGTCGTCATCATCATCATCATCATCATCAGCAGCATCAGCATCATCATCATCATCAGCAGCATCAGCATCATCATCATCATCATCATCATCTGAACGCTCCCCTCTTCACCCCAAGTTTGCAGCCACGGAACAAAACTGTCAACTGGTCTATCAGCCGCGATTTCACAGCATGATTCACTGCATCGTAACCCGTGGTGGTGAGGATGATTCTTTTGATCAAGTCCTGTCCCAGACAGAGCAAACTGAGAACACAGAGCACTGCTCCTGAGCATATTTTCCGTTGACAATAAATGCACCAGCAAGAGGTGGTGAATACGGGGGAATACTGCTGGAGTTCTCTAAACCGTTCACAAAATTCACAAAGAACCTGCACCGCTTTGGCTTCTGGCCTCGTCCTTTTCGGATCCCGCCCTGGCATGCCGAACATTGAGAGTGTCCACTGCGTCAGTCAGCACATTGATCCTCAAGTCGTCAAGTCAGAAGCAACTCACATGACAGGCCTGGGAAGCCTCAGCCTTCAAATCATTCATTGATTCTTTGCAATGCGAAGAGAAAATGACCATCATTCCAAAAGAAATATTCCAAACAAATATGCTGCGTGCTTCCACATGAAATATTATCAGCGTTTTGATCTGAGAGATGTGGTGGCGCTGATGGCTGATGGCGCTTGGGCCGCTTGAGTCAGCAAGTCACCTGCCCGCTGACATAGTTTCCTTGAAAAAGGTCTCAGCCGCGCCGGGGAGTATGATGTTCATTGGTATCTCCTGCGTGATGCACACCTCATTCCATGTTCACAACGATGACAATTTAGATCGGCTTTGCCATTTTGCCGACAATTTGCCTGTAAACATCCTTTAACATCCTTTAACTACTTTACCTCGCAACAACACGCATCAAAAATCCAGACATGTCGTTTGCTCTAATGTCACATGGCTCTGAAATGGTATGACAAGGTACGGGTCAAGATATGTCAAAACCACTAAACATTGTGGTACGCCAAGCTGTGATTCTGGCCCAAAGAAAAAGATCAAGCTCCAAGGCGGCGGCGTAGCTTTCAAAAATGCACCAGGCCCTTTTCACGTAGGTCGGATTGGATTGGATTGGAGGAGGACGTCAACCTGCTCCTCACCGAAGTGAAGTAGTTAAGACGCCGAAATTGCCAACGCAGAGCCGGAGCTCTTTGAACTGAACAAACCGGAGGGCAAGTTCAAGCCAAGAAAAGTACCACCCATGCAGCTGAAGAAGCAGCAAACGCTCATTCAAACGACCTGTTTTGACGTGGTTCGTGTTCAAGCAAAACTTGCCAGTAGGGAAGAGAACCCTTTAGTTGCGCCTTCCAAGCTTCTCCAGCCCAAACAACTGCCTCTCTGTGTTGTGACAAACAAGTAGCAATCACCTGCCGAAATTGACCTGTAAGATCAGCCGCGCTAGCATCCGCTTTGGCATTGAGCATGCGGCAACGCAAAACATCAAGCCACCCTTCGGGTGGGCGCCATCGAGGAACTTTATTATGCGAGGGAATCCAAGCACAAGAAGAGCCATCAACCAAAAGCATCCTGATATAATGCCAGTATGGAAAAAGATCTCCACCCCACTGACCAAGCCGCATGCCACGATGAAGACGTTGCACAAGAGCTTGGTTGTCAATCAGCAAGCGCACCGCTCTGTTCGCTTCATGGGAAGCCAAGCAGGCTTGAAGAAGTGCACCTCTCTCGCCCGCAGCAGGAGTTTGCTCGAAACCATGCACCAACCCATTGACCGTGGGCCCAAGATGTGCCGCCACAGCCCAGCTGGCACGCTGCCAAAGTTCGCACCCTGGAGCGATTGCGCAACTTCCATCCAAGCCCAAAGTCGGCGTTTGATGTGGGTCAAACTGTTGTAGAAAAGCCACCAGAATGGGGTCGGCCGTCATATCTTCAAATGGAAGAACAGCTGGAGCATCCACAAGAGGAACAAGCAACCGCCTTTCAGTTGGAGTTTTGAGATCACCATGCCAAGGATTTGCCTCGCAGTAGAAAGTGAAATGCTCACGATCAGGAGAGCTCAAACCACAATCACACTGCAAGTCGACTTCCAAACGTTGAGTAACTCTCCCATCCACTGCTGCACCTGTCAAGACTCTGCGACCACAATAGTTCAAATCATGCGCCACATTGGCCTGGAATTGGAACACAGGCAACTTACCTTCAGGTAAAGGACCCTCCGTTTTGGTGTCCTTCGTCCACATAAAAGCCAGCCATGCTGCAGCAGCAGCTTTGTATAAGCTTGAAGAAGACATCCACCCTGGTTTCAAAGTCCCCACGGGAGTGATCCACAAACCACCCTCAACACGCCAATTCCAGTCTTTGCAAACAGTATTCCACCTTGGGCCTGGCGAAACAGCGGCGGGCACACCTATGGCCAAGCGGCACTGGCGCTGCCATTCAGCCCGGGCTGCAGCAAAGTGAAGCGCAAAAGCAGGATGCAAACGCGGTGTGCCCAAAGAGTTCCAGAACAGCAATCTACTGCGACCTGGGGCAGGCTTGCGCCCCCAGACCGCCGCTTCAATACTGGAGGTCCAACTCTTGATGGTATCAACATCATAGTGGTGAAAAGCTCCTGTCCATGCAAACAAAGAGATCACCAACTGTCCCAGCAAGGTCTTGCGGGTGCCCAAACGTTTCGCTGCCAACCTGATTTTGCGACACCTCTCCTGAATGTCAAAGGAAAGCTTCTCTGCATTAACACAAGCACCTGCACGCTCCAAATTGTACTGAATACCCAGAAGCGTGAACTTGCTGCAAGGAGCCCCCAACACGTCCTGTATCTGTGACAGCTGAGGCGTCAAATGTTGCTTGGTTGTGAAACTATTTAACTTGTCAGGATGGAGTTCCATGCCCAGAATTGCATCAACCTGCGCACCTGCCTGCATGGCGTTGGTGACCACGTGAATGCCGTTGACACCTTTCTTCCACATTGTGCGGTCATCCAAATAAACTGCAAGAGAAACACGAGGCTCTTGCAAAAGAACGAAGCGCACCCAGACTACCATCACCGCATTGAGTAAGGCTGGGCTTGCCGGGCAGCCCTGCAGCAGCCCCCGCCGAGCACAAATGGGCTCTGAATGGAAAATGCCTTGCCAGGCAAACCACCTGCGTTGGTCAGTGTAAAAATTTTCCACCATGTCACACAAACTGGCCGGAGCACCCAACCAGCGCCAAATAGCAAGTGCAGTCTTTGGACAAACCGAATCGAAACACCTACGGATATCGGCCTTGCAGCCAACAAAATCAACTCTTGAACGTTTGGCAGCACGAATGTCTTCGTAGAGCAATTCATGAACATCCATAATGCCTCTTCCTGGACGGCCGCCACAAAGCTGAGGCAAGGCCCATTCTTGTATCCATGGTCGGAGCTTTTGCAAAGTTGCACTCATGCAGATGCGCCACAGGACCGTCGTGATGGCAAGTGGGCGCAGACCCCCGGCCGCTTTTGGAATCAAGGCTATGCGAATATCTTTCCACATTGTAGGAACTTTCGCACACTGCATGCACGCCGACCACAAGACTGCAACGTGATTCCAAAAGGACTCCGGCAACTTGCACAAATGAGCCGCAGTCCAAGCATCCATACCAGCCGCTTTTTGTTTAGCTTTCAACGCAGAACGCGCCAAATCAGCCCCAACCACTTGAATGCTTTCAGGCGTGACTGGGTCGACCTGATTGTTGAGCTGCAAACACAAATTTGAAACCTGGTCTAAATGTGGGAGGTGGTCCGGATTCCAATGCGTGTGCCACGCAGCTGCCTCCTGTCTTGCCTTATCACGTAGGTCGGATTGGATTTGATTTGGATTGGAGGAGGACGTCAACCTGCTCCTCACCGAAGTGAAGTAGTTAAGACGCCGAAATTGCCAACGCTGAGCCGGAGCTCTTTGCACTGAACAAACCGGAGGGCAAGTTCAAGTCAAGAAAAGTACCACCCATGCAGCTGAAGAAGCAGCAAAAGCTTATTCAAACGACCTGTTTTGACGTGGTTCGTGTTCAAGCAAAACTTGCCAGTAGGGAAGAGAACCCTTTAGTTGCGCCTTCCAAGCTTCTCCAGCCCAAACAACAGCCTCTCTGTGTTGTGACAGACAAGTAGCAATCACCTGCCGAAATTGACCTGTAAGATCAGCCGCGCTAGCATCCGCATTGGCATTGAGCATGCGGCAACGCAAAACATCAAGCCACCCTTCGGGTGGGCGCCATCGAGGAACTTTATCATGCGAGGGAATCCACGCACAAGAAGAGCCATCAACCAAAAGCATCCTGATATAATGCCAGTATGGAAAAAGATCTCCACCCCACTGTCCAAGCCGCATGCCACGATGAAGACGTTGCACAAGAGCTTGGTTGTCAATCAGCAAGCGCACCGCTCTGTTCGCTTCATGGGAAGCCAAGCAGGCTTGAAGAAGTGCACCTCTCTCGCCCGCAGCAGGAGTTTGCTCGAAACCATGCACCAACCCATTGACCGTGGGCCCGATATGAGCCGCCACAGCCCAGCTGGCACGCTGCCAAAGTTCGCACCCTGGAGCGATTGCACAACTTCCATCCAAGCCCAACGTCGGCGTTTGATGTGGGTCAAACTGTTGTAGAAAAGCCACCAGAATGGGGTCGGCCGTCATATCTTCAAATGGAAGAACAGCTGGAGCATCCACAAGAGGAACAAGCAACCGCCTTTCAGTTGGAGTTTTGAGATCACCATGCCAAGGATTTGCCTCGCAGTAGAAAGTGAAATGCTCACGATCAGGAGAGCTCAAACCACAATCACACTGCAAGTCGACTTCCAAACGTTGAGTAACTCTCCCATCCACTGCTGCACCTGTCAAGACTCTGCGACCACAATAGTTCAAATCATGCGCCACATTGGCCTGGAATTGGAACACAGGCAACTTACCTTCAGGTAAAGGACCCTCCGTTTTGGTGTCCTTCGTCCACATAAAAGCCAGCCATGCTGCAGCAGCAGCTTTGTATAAGCTTGAGGAAGACATCCACCCTGGTTTCAAAGTCCCCACGGGAGTGATCCACAAACCACCCTCAACACGCCAATTCCAGTCTTTGCAAACAGTATTCCACCTTGGGCCTGGCGAAACAGCAGCGGGCACACCTATGGCCAAGCGGCACTGGCGCTGCCATTCAGCCCGGGCTGCAGCAAAGTGAAGCGCAAAAGCAGGATGCAAACGCGGTGTACCCAAAGAGTTCCAAAACAGCAATCTACTGCGACCTGGGGCAGGCTTGCGCCCCCAGACCGCCGCTTCAATACTGGAGGTCCAACTCTTGATGGTATCAACATCATAGTGGTGAAAAGCTCATGTCCATGCAAACAAAGAAATTACCAACTGTCCCAGCAAGGTCTTGCGGGTGCCCAAACGTTTCGCTGCCAACCTGATTTTGCGACACCTCTCGTGAATGTCAAAGGAAAGCTTCTCTGCATTAACACAAGCACCTGCACGCTCCAAATTGTACTGAATACCCAGAAGTGTGAACTTGCTGCAAGGAGCCCCCAACACGTCCTGTATCTGTGACAGCTGAGGCGTCAAATGTTGCTTGGTTGTGAAACTATTTAACTTGTCAGGGTGGAGTTCCATGCCCAGAATTGCATCCACCTGCGCACCTGCCTGCATGGCGTTGGTGACCACGTGAATGCCGTTGACACCTTTCTTCCACATTGTGCGGTCATCCAAATAAACTGCAAGGGAAACACGAGGCTCTTGCAAAAGAACGAAGCGCACCCAGACTACCATCACCGCATTGAGTAAGGCTGGGCTTGCCGGGCAGCCCTGCAGCAGCCCCCGCCGAGCACAAATGGGCTCTGAATGGAAAATGCCTTGCCAGGCAAACCACCTGCGTTGGTCAGTGTAAAAATTTTCCACCATGTCACACAAACTGGCCGGAGCACCCAACCAGCGCCAAATAGCAAGTGCAGTCTTTGGACAAACCGAATCGAAACACCTACGGATATCGGCCTTGCAGCCAACAAAATCAACTCTTGAACGTTTGGCAGCACGAATGTCTTCGTAGAGCAATTCATGAACATCCATAATGCCTCTTCCTGGACGGCCGCCACAAAGCTGAGGCAAGGCCCATTCTTGTATCCATGGTCGGAGCTTTTGCAAAGTTGCACTCATGCAGATGCGCCACAGGACCGTCGTGATGGCAAGTGGGCGCAGACCCCCGGCCGCTTTTGGAATCAAGGCTATGCGAATATCTTTCCACATTGTAGGAACTTTCGCACACTGCATGCACGCCGACCACAAGACTGCAACGTGATTCCAAAAGGACTCCGGCAACTTGCACAAATGAGCCGCAGTCCAAGCATCCATACCAGCCGCTTTTTGTTTAGCTTTCAACGCAGAACGCGCCAAATCAGCCCCAACCACTTGAATGCTTTCAGGCGTGACTGGGTCGACCTGATTGTTGAGCTGCAAGCAGAAATTTTGAACCTGGTCTAAATTTGGGAGGTGGTCCGGATTCCAATGCGTGTGCCACGCAGCTGCTTCCTGTCTTGCCTTATCTTCAGGCAAAATAGGACCATCGACCTGTGTTGCTGTAGGTGGATCAGGTGGTTTTTGCTGAACCCACTTCCCCAGTTTCGCAACATTTTCTTGAATGTCCTCTTTCCAAGCAGCAAGGCGTCGCTGAGACGCCTTTTTGGCCACCTCGTCTGCAAGAAGCAAAGCGGCGGGAGCCAAACCACCATCAGATAAAGCAAACGCAGTAAGAGACGAGTGCAAAAGCGGAGCATCGCGCAACAGCTTGGTTTGCAATTGCGGCGAAGGAGCCTTTTGATATTCGACCACCCGTCGTGCAAATCTTCTCAGCTTTCGCTCCTCCAAAGACTGCAACGTAGGAGCTTTGGTTGATGGGGGGCTCGCCATTTTGTGCGGGCCGTCCCTTGATGCCCTGCTGGGCTTGCCTTGTGCAAGCAGCAAAGATTCAGCACAGTTGCTCAGGACCACCCAAGCTTGATCCACATTTCCGACGGCCAGAGCATCCGTGAAATCTTGTTGTGATTCTGCCCAAGCAACATTCCAGTTCTCAACCTCCACATTGCAAAGTAAGAGTGGTGCGCTTGCGGGCAATCTCCAAGGCGTGGGTAAGCTACCATGCACATGTATATCGTAAATAACTGCATCATGGTCAGCAACACCTAAAGACTGCATTCTTCCAGAAACAACAACCCTGGGAGTTGAAAGCGCGTAGTCAATGACCACCCCTGTGTATTCACCATCTGAGTTGCGATGGGTGCCAGGGCCAATCTGGTCACCGCAGACTTGTTCATCGCAAGAATACCATTGCCCCGACGCCAGCGCGGTGGAGGCCGGCCAAACATGCCTTTCCCTGTTGAAATCGCCCACAATGATTGCTTCTTCGCCCAGCATAGCAACGTATTCAAAAATTGAAGCCAAGGCGTGGCCAGCAGCTGTTTGATCGTTGGCATGAAGGTACACATTGATCAGTAGAAGCGGTCGCTGATGAGGTCGAAAAAGCTTCAGCGCCATGGCACGGTCAGCCGGCGCAAACTGACTTGGAATGGCCAACGCTTCAGCAGGCCACTTTGACAAAACTAACGTCCCGCCAATCACCACATTCTTGGCGTCTACCCCTTGGCCGCCAGGAAAAACTTGCCACCTGCGCTGGTTTGCAGCTGACTTGACAGCGCTCCAACTGTCGACATTGACTCTAGTTTCTTGCAAACAAAGAACATCGATCTGCTCAGTCTTTGCTAACTCAAAAACGCCACCCAACCGGCCACTCAATGACCGGACATTCATAGTTCCCAACCTTAAAGTGCTAGACGTACCCGTCATTTGTCCGTAGAATCACCTTCCTCTTGCTGAAACCCTAAAATCTCCAAAGCACGGAGCGCCGCTCTTTGCCTCGCCCCAGGTTCTTTGTTGGCAAGCTCCAGCAAGGCGTCTTTGTTGCCTTTTCTCTTTTGGTTCCAAACGGTGCTGTTGGCGCAAGACATTCCACGGAAATGTTTCTCATCCTTCATGCACCGCTTGCATCTCGTGCAAGCAAAACGGACCGTGAAATCTACCGGCCAGACAAGTGCCTCAATATGGTGTTTGGGCGCAGTGTCTTTGGAGCTTCCCTTGCCTGAGTCAATAATGTTCAAAACTGTACGGGCACCATCTTTGAGAGCATCACTGATGGACGCTTTGTTGAGACAAGCGCGGAGCCTTGCCAGCATCTTCTTCCTCTTGGGGCCATTGCCGGCCACATACTTTTCACATGACAGCGTAGCAAGCTCCTTTGCTTGATTCGCCATCTTGCCACATTTGCGACAAATAACCTTTGCCATACCTCCTCTTTTCTGTTTGGCCTTGCCAGTCATAGGGAGGGTAACCAACAATGGTTCGTGGGAACCGGCATCACCTTTTTTGAGGCCCAACAGGCGTTTTGCCATGCCAGCTGCGCGCACTTGCAACGTAGCTTTGGCTGCATTTGCCGACCTGTAACTTCCATCGCTTTTGAAACGCTGCACATTCGCTTTCGGATGGTGTTCTTCTCTATGCCTCAGTTTCATGCGAAGCACCTGGTCTCTGCTGAGATCAGCATCTTCAGGAATGACCATGTTGCACAAGTGACACTTTCACTTGAAACTCATACCAGGGGCGGCGTGACAAAGCTGACCCATAGTGGGAGTGAGCTTCAACTTCTCCTTCTCATCAGGATGCCAAGCGTTGATGTGGGCCTGCTTTTTCTGCGGCCACAGCCTGTGTACCCCTGTGGAATAATCGCACAAAGGACAATTCCATTCCTCTCTTTTTGGGCGTTTGGACGAAGTGCTGCCAGCCTCGTCCTTTTCGCTGACACCAGCGTTGCTCACAGCACGCCGCTCCCGACCTGAAGTAGCAGTCGCAGGAGAGAGATTCCTGCGCCGCTCTGAGCAAGTAGAACCAGGCAAGGAGGCGTCGCGCTTGGAACGCTTCTTGGCGCCCGCCACTGACGGCAGCGCTGACAAACGAGTAGCGCCAGCCGAGTGAGTGCCAGTTTCCGACCCGCCTCCTCTGTTGCCTTGCATAGGGCCAGTGGCGGCTTGCTCCAAAATGCCTGGCGGCAATGCGCCATCCAACAATTCATAATGCTTTCGGCGATACCAAAGAGCAATGGCGCCACCTGCTTTCCCTTGGCTGTTGTAAACCTCAGGCACGCCCGTAGGCTGAAAAACTAATATGGGTCTGTCGTAGTGCACGGCAGCTGCAGCGCATTCCAAACTGCTGCCCCAAGCCCCAACCTTTGCAAGCATGTCGATGTACTTTTCCCATGACTCGCACTTCTCTTCCTGTTCCGTGGGCTCCCTTTCGTCCCACCAAGGTTTATACCGACCTTCATGCTTCTTTAAATGGTTCACAACTGCAGCTCTCACGGATCTTGCAGTTTTGCCTCCAATTCCCTGTGATATGGACTCAAACAAACAATTGCCATCAGCAGCAATGGTTCGTGCAATCAAGCCATGAGGTGGCTTGACATCCACTGCAACTCGCTTTGCCGCCGGCAGCTTGGCGGGGGAAGAAGGTTCGCGTTTGTCACCTGCAGCAGCCGAAGCAGCTTTCATAGCTTCATCAGCTTGAACATCACCAGGCTGCGTGGCGCCTGTAGCAGGCGCAGCTGCAGCGTTCTTTTCCTTGAGCGGCGTGCCAATGTAGAAAGACTTTAGCGGTGGCTGTGAGGATTGCACAGTTGCAGGCTCAGTGTTGGAATGAAAACTCACCTTTCCGTAACTGGACAACTTCTTTGTAATGGGCCGCTGAGGTCTCTGCCTGGGCGCTTCAACGACAACAATGGTGTGTTTGCCGGCCTGGATCTCAAGGAAATCAAGATCTCTTTGAGCATTCGCATGTGCCCACCATTCAACTTGCTTGCCCAAAGTTTTGCGAGACAAAATCTTTGGATCTTGCAAGCCAGCACGTGTGATCGCTTCAGTGACCGTGCTGGCTGACCATTCTCGGGGCACACCACTAATGCGCCATGCTCTTGGCTTTGGAATCGGGTCAGATGCTCTGGGCTTTCGGACGCCTAAGCCGCCCCACCCTCTTGCAATGCCAAGATCACCTGCCAAACTTTGGACCTTTTGAAGATAGCTGGGGCCATCAAGGTCAGGCCCTTTCTTGATCCATTCAACATCACATGACTCCACCACACTGTTGTTCCATTGGAGAGGTTCGACGAACCACAGACTTTTCCCAGAACAAGAAAGCAAGCCTTTCGCTGCATCTTTCTCAATCCTCAGCAACCCAGTAATGACCGGCTTGCCACCACCCTTCGTGCACTCCTCTTGGAAAGCCCACATGTCAAAAACTTTGGCACCAATGTGGGCGGGCACATGCCTTCGCAACCATGACTGAGCGCTAGCCTTTGGTTTGGCTTGGATGCTCTGCCACTCTTTGCTCAACAAATACTTTGCTTCAACGCTCAACCTCACAACCACCGTCTCAGTCTGAGCTGCAGGAGCAGCAGAAACAACGGCTGCTCTTTTGAGTGTTGGTCCGTTTCCTTTCAAGGCTATCAGGTAAGCCTGCCTTGGCTGAACTTTCCCAGCTATTTTGCCAGGTATGAGCCTCAACTGTCTGCCGTCGATCTGCTTCGCTTCTTTTGGAGCTAACAAAACTGCAGAGACATGCAATTCTCTTGTCTGATCTGTTGCATCACCTTCTGTCAAAACTTTGAGCTCACTCAGTTGCTCTTCCGATTCACACTGCGCTGTTGCTGACACATTGCCAGGCTGATCCAACGCACTGCAAAAAGAATCAAAAGTCAAAACTTGGCCGGTCCAGTCCGACTGTCTCAAACACCAAACTGGTTTGAACGGTGTGTTCGTTCGAACTACTTCCACAAAAGACTTGGATGCTTGTGTGGGCTGTTTCTTGTTGGCATCCTGTTTGCGATTGGGAAGCTGCGCAGAAGTGCTAGTAGGATTGGTGATTGGGGCAGAATTGAGCGCTGCATTCCTTTGGCCAAGGCCCGCACCACCATTGTCGCCTCCCTGTGTCTTGCGCTCTTTCTTTCTCTTTTTGGGCTTGTTCCCTCCTTTGTTTTTGGAGGTGTCAACAGCTCCAATTTCTTGACCCATCAGTGTGCTAAGTTGCTGAAACAATTTTCCGCTGCCTCCCCCAATTCCCAACAATTGGCAGAGCTGGGTAAGCAGCTTGAGAATTTCTCCTACCTGTTGCACATTGAAGCCATTAGCTTGCGCATTGCTTTGTTTCTGTTTCCGTCTTCGAGCTGTTGCTCGGCTGCCTGCTCCATTGCCATTAAGGATATGTTGCAAAGCATTTCTGGTTCTGGAAGACACAACCCAAGTCTTCTGTGGCAAGTCAGTGCAAGCACAACAAGCACACGCCACAACTGAACTGTTCGCTTCTGTGCACTGCCTAGGCCTGAAAGCAATGCATAGACCCGCAGCAACCGCGCGGAGGTCGTTCAGGTAGCCGCTCACGTAGGTCGGCTGCCTCGGAGGCCCAAGTTGCAACTTGGGTGTCTTGGGGACTGCCACTCAACCGATATTCATGAAGAACCAAGAACTGCAAATTGATATGTGACTTAGGTCCTGAAAGCTCTTGGTTTATATGATGGAGACATTCTCAAGTTCGAGAAGTTGTAGCCCTCCCCCGGGAACAAGATTTATCGCATCTTACCATCACATAATGCTACCACCCAAATATGTGTTTGTTTCAAAGTCGCTCAGTTATGTACTCACGCACTTTCATCAGACAAGCCGATAAGCCCCTGACACAATGGTATCGAGCAGCACCAACATATGTCCCGCTTCCACCAGATGGGATTCAAAGATTTCTTTCAGATCGTCGCTTCCTGTTTGAGTCGCCTCCAGGGACAAGACTGTCCATCTATGCAACGACAAACCTGTCATGACTCATGACACACAAAGCTCAACGATCAAAAAACTGGGTCTCGATGATGCATCCACCGCACATGACTTGCGTAATCCACCCGCTGTTCCTTGCCCATCGGTAAAACAGTGGTCACAAGCAGAAACAGAAGTGAACTGCGAAAGGAATTGTCACATGTTGTAACAACTGCCACGGCTTGACTTAGGAGCCTCCTCTTTGATTCGATACTGGTTATTACAGAAGAAGCACATCCACAGGAAGACGTTCCGTGCATCTTCATTGGACTTTTGTACCCATCGCTCAATGGCACTGACGACATTGTTCAAGGAATATGCCCAGCACCATGAAACGAAGTGCGAGACCTTTCCTCAGGCACTGCAGAAAATGATCACAATATATCACAATGTTTGCCAAATGATCGCTCAAAGTCATTGAAATCATCGGTTGACATCTGTGGATATCTATTGTATCCCCTGATGTCATCTAGCCATCCCACATCATCCCTGATCATGGTGAAACCCTGAAACCAAGTGGCCACTGTACGCATCTTCCAACGCGTCCACAATGCTGCAATGGGGCCTTCCATCTCTGGGACATGTCCTGTTGTAACCCATACCTTGCCAAGTGCCAGGCCAAGAATACAAGAGGCACAGCTTTAAAATAAACATGCTAAAAAAATGCTAAAAATATATATGCACAATGTCAAACGTCATGCACTTTGCTGAGACGACAGTCATAAAGGCAAGGGACCGGCCGTCCCGTGCGCCAACTTTGGGCAAATTTCGTAGAAATTTGGATTCTCAGCGCTGGTCACTCCTGAGCAGCATAATTCAAGCCATGGAAAAACACTCCCACATGGAGTCCACCGAGGAACAAATGTTCACACATTTTCATTCACAATTTCCATGTCGAGGCACTGCGGGCCAAAGGTGGAAAGACGTCCACCAAATACGTGGCTGCCAACCCCAACGTCACCATCTCAGGTGGCAGCTCTGCGCAAACTGGGCACACGTGCACCTGGTCACCACAAGGGCTGCTTTGGAGAGGTTTTGACAAGTTGTCACATCGAAAATGTTGAGTGCTCCGTTTTCAGTCCGTTTCCACTTGATGTCAGTTGCGACACCTGATGCTGCGGGCAGTACCAGTGCTTTCCAGCAGCTCGGAGGCGCGAGCACGATGTGCATCCTGAGTCGTTAGAAACACAACTCTTGGCAACTGCTTCAAATTTACTCGTTTGCTAAAATGGCATGCTGAATTCCAGCAATTCAAATTGTTGAGTCCTGTTGTGTCTTTTCAAGAAACACCAAGAAACTATGTCTTTAATGATAAATAATATCATCTTCACGAACAAACCTGCGCTGAAGAAACAAGTGTAGAAAACAACCGAGCCGTGAACATTGTAAACGGACTGTGAACCGATGTGGATGTTGCATGACCTAGCCAGGATTAGCCAGGTTTTGGGTCTACCATGATCTACCAAGTTACCTGGACATTAATTAAGTTCCAAAAAAAAGGCAAAAATGTGTACACATCTCTACCATTTGGGAGCACGTTGTCAAGCCAATCTCTGAGATACATTGAGAATCATTGAGAATCATTGAGAATCATTGAGATACTGTGTTGAGATGTGCCACCTTCACATATTGCTTGCCATCTCAACGTATTGGAATACAGTGGCGAACCAAAGGCTGTGTGAATCTATTTGACGATGTTTGACGCACAGCATCTGTAGCCATCACCCTCCGAGTCCGTGAGCTCCATGTCGTGGTGATTTTCGACTTGGCATTTTGGAGTGCAAACCCACCTGGGCGACGCTGCGACATGGACGGGTCACAACGTGGGCTGGGCGCAACGTACTGGGTGCTGTCGCTTCCGAAACTCATGCAAAGTTCTTCCCTCTTTTTACAAGAGGTTTGATTCTTCCAGGTCTTTCCCATGTTTTTGTCCACCTGTTTCCTCTACTTGTTTTGTATCATGTTCAGGTCCGGATCTGCCTGAAGCGTTGCCAAGCAGGATGGGGATGCTGCGTGCTCCACCACACCACGTTCCTGGAATTTTGGGACAATTTGGGACGGATCGGGACGGCTTGTGACGGCTTGGAAGGCTTGGGACGGCTTCGGAAAATTAGTAGGACCGTGTAGGACCAGCAAATGAAAAACATTGAAAACAGTGCAAGGTACCAGGTGCTACTGCAGTGTGCGTAATTGTGGACGGTTTCATTGAGCATCGACAAACTGAACAGGGATGAACAGCAACCATCAACAAACCTGCGACAAATCTATCTGCTAGATGGGCGTCTTTTGAATACTCTGCACCGTCTGGACAGTTCCATCTTCCCAGGTAAAATGTCGAACTTGCCCTGGTCGAAATTGAAGCTGGCGACCGCTCAATTCAAAAGCCGCCTCGCTCACCTTAGAAGGCCAACATGGGACTAGCTTCGCAGCTTGAAATTTCTGGGTATCAACATTCCATATCCTTATATACTTGCTAATCCTTGTGCAATTCATCCTGCATTCGGTTTCCATCAGTCTCCACCGTAGAAACTGTGCAATCGAATAAGGTAAACAGAAACTCATCTACATTTCCATTGCCTGGATTATCTGGATTCTTTGATTACCAAGGGGAAATCCATGATCTGGTAAGACACCGAAAGCTTCTGAACTTTTCCTCGTGGCCATTCCGCAGTCATCCTGCCAAGCTGAAAGCGGCAACAAGATCATGGTGTCAAAACACCATCCCCTGCCCTGGGGATCCCATGACCGTGCGTGCAGATGAAACTCAAGCTCAAAAGCATTCGAAGGCCCCAAAAGTTCCCAACTTCAAAGAAAGTCGTCTCAAAGTGTCCTGGAATTCCATGAGAAAATGAGAGGTTTCACAGACCACGCAAGGGGCGGCAGTATCGCCAGCGGATTTGGGACTTGAGGCTCTGCTTCGGCACCTGGCAGTTCCGGGCAACACAATGCCGGCAGCCCAAGTTGTTCCTAAAATCGAAAATGTCAACCCCGGAACTCCTAGCAAAGCAGGGTCAACGAGAAACATCAACTCAAGTCAATGCGACATCCATGTGCGACTCGTTTCCTGAATTCAATCACCTGGCTCCACTAGAGAAACGACTTTGGGTGAAATTTCATGAAATTTCTCCTCAGAAATGCGCGGCGTGAACACCGTGAACTTGACCCGCCCAAAACAACCAAAATGTCGGTGTCACTTTTAAATTTAAAGTATCAATGTTTGAATCCCTTCACCCTGACCCTAAACTTACCCCACTTGGAAAAATTGAATTATAATGAAGTATCTTGGATTCCTGATGGATCGTGATGGATCCGTTCATTTGAAAAGATTTGAGAGTCTCATTAAGGCTTTAGGACTACCTCGAAGCTGGCGGAGCTTCGCGCGGTAACAGTAGATGCCCAGGGCGGCACAAAGGCACGCCGTCAGCAACGGCAGCACCACCGCAGCCACCACTGCAGCCACCAGCCTTGAAGAAGGCAACTTAGAACGACAAATTCATCAGTATAGTACGGTATGTCCGTCTGTTATGCAAAGACAGGACTCTATTATTATACTCTATTAGACTAAACAAACCATGGCTCCTTTTCATCTGGACATGCCCAGTCTTCGTCGAAAAAGTAATTACAGAAACTTTTTCGGGAAAAGATCCCGCCCTTTCGCATGCAAGTGGCAATCCAGTCGGATCATCTTCACTTGATAGAGTCGAATCATGTTGGTTTGATGTGCTGGTGGTGTTCGCACCCAAATCGATCGATTGGGCATTTGATATCCCTGGCTTCTTCCAGTTCTCGACATCGACCGAGGCAGTCGTGGTTGATATTTGCTGTTCCTCATTCAAGCGACCAAAACAGCTGATTTGAACATGGCAAGGATGTACAATGAAGCGAAATACTAGCAATTGAGTTTCAGTGCCATAGCTGCTACCTTTAGACCCAGGAAAACAAACAGGGCCCGAATTTACATCTGACAGAAACAAGTCATCCACCACTCTTCAGATACCTGTTTATGCACTCTAGACTCTAGACGGTGCAGGTGTATTAATCCCGTTAAAAATCACAAATGGACACCCTCTGGTAATCTCTGGCAATCTGAGATGTCAATGGAAGCCCCATGTATACATCCCCGAATCCATGTGTCGATGCTCTTGCCGTTTGATAAACACATGAAAATTCCCAGCCAGCCATGTTGAATTACAAATAGTTGCAGCTGCATACATTGTACCGAGCAGCGACCTCCAGCTGTGACCTCAGGTTGAACCCTCAAACAAAAATGCCTGGAGACTGTGAAAAGGTCGACTGCCAGTTCGAAAAAAATCTATCATGCGGGTGGCAAATGCTAAAAAATAATATGTCAATTTTAACATCTTTGCTTCTAAGCATCATGCCAACGAATAACGATACCTCTTGAATCCTCTTGGCACCTATGTGCTTTTGAAACCAAGCCGAGGAACACTGGCAATCCCGGTGGAGCCGGTAGAGCTTCTTCCGCGCTTGCGCTGGCTGATGCTGTCGTCACTGATGCTGTGCTGGTTGACGATTTCGTTGTGGATCTTGCTCTGCTGATACTGGTTGATGTCTTCGTCGATGACGTTGATACTATCCTTGATGTTGTCCTGGTCGATGCTCTCGTTGCTGATCGTGTGCTGGTGCTGGTTGATACTGTCCTTGATGACGTCCTGGTCGATGCAGTCGTCGATGATTTTGTTCGGGTGATGCTGGTTGACGGCTTCGACGATGACATTGCGGTGGTGATGCCAGTGGATGCCGTCGTTGGCGTTGTCCAGCTGGAAGTTGGGGTACTGGACAGCACGCAGCACATGCTGTTGCCACCACTCTTCTGCAAGGGATTTTGCGTGTAGCCAGCTGGACATGTTACCTGGCTGCACTCGGCCTTAGCAAAGTGGAAGGCGTTCCGACCAACGATCTTTCCACTGGTTTAGGACTTGCTTTCATCTGCTTTCCTCCCATGGAGATGTCTATGAATCGAATCTTTGCATGCGGTGCTCATGCATTTCACCGGTGGGCAGAATGTATGTTCTCAACTGTCACGATGGGTCACAAGGGGGTTTGTGTATGTATGTGTATGTATTGTGGCTCTGGGGGATTGGGATGAATCCTTTGCATGTCTTCAAAATGAAGAGAGAAAACTAGACGACGGTTGGCCCGAGAGCGACAAAGATGTTTTTCAAGCAGCTCTGAGGATGGTAGTCGTAAAAGATAGTCGGTGAATGGTTGGTGAATTTTATATGAGCTATGGAGGGATAAGGTGTGAAAAAGTAAGATTGATTAAGAAGAGGATACTTGGTAAAGGGCATCAGATGACACGTGTCTTGCAACCACAGAGAGAAAGAGGGAGGAGAGAGAGAGAGAGAGAAGGAAAGGGGGATAGAAAGAAAACATGGAGGAATATAATGTGAGCAACAAAAATGCACAGGAGGCTCGGTACCATGATGCTGCGAATGACATGTGTTATCTCATTTTACTATGGTAATTCCTACACACATTGCCGAAAAAGCTCGGCACCATCATTCCGTGGATGTGAAGAAACGCGACGCTTTTATACAGAGACGCTTTTACACACAGAAGCTTTTACACACAGGAGTTTTTACACACAGACACTTTTACACACAGACGCTTTTACACGCACAGAAATTTTTACACACAGACGCTTTTACACACGGACACTTTTACACACAGGAGCTTTTACACAGAGACACTTTTACACACAGACGTTTTTACACGCAGACACTTTTACACACAGGCACATTTACACGCAGAAGCTTTTACACCAAGACGCTTTGCCACACAGATGTTTTTACACACAGACTCTTGTACACACAGACGCTCTTACACACAAAACCCGTTACACACAGGCGCTTTTACAGGCCGACGCTTTTACAACACATACCAACACGAAATGATGCTTTGAAATCGCAGTGAAACGTCGTGGCTCAGAAGTGCCAACCTTAGTGCATAGCACAGAGCTGGACACATTCCAGTAATTTGATTTACTCCAAGACCAAAAACATCCATCAAAAACCCAGGCCGGTACCAAACTGGCGCAAGAGCCACCTCGGAAATTTCAGATTGCACGATCATGCATATAGTTGTTCACTCGTACCAAGATGAGATCGTCTATCATCAAGTTAGATCACACAAAAACACGTAGATCGACACTTTTCAACTGTACAGACAGACAGCAGTTGGCTACTGATTTTGCAGGTTCGCCGCGAACAGTTTCTCCAGACGAACGGTGGTGCAAATTAATTTCCGTCCGCCGCACTCAGTTCCATGTGCCACTCGGTACGCAAACCTTCCAGCTTCCACAAGGCCTCCAAGACATAGGGGCGATTGTGCCAAGGGCGCAAGGAAGGTCTTTTCTCAAGCAGCAACTTGACGGCATCCTCTGCAGAGTAGTTGTAACCCACGACGAGCCAAGCACATAAAGCCCCAGCACTTCGATTGATGCAAAGCAATGGAAGAGCACGTGCATGGATTCGCCCTTGGTCACTGCCAGCATGGATTGTTCCCAGAGTTGGCCACAAACAATTTTCCACTGTTCCAAACAAGAAGCTACCAAGTCAGGGATTCGTTCCTCCCAACGGTGCGGCGGCTTCAATGTCGTGTCATCCAAGTGACACAGACGCTTTTACACACAGACTCCTTTACACACAGACGCTTTTACACACAGACACTTTTTACACACAGAACATTTTACACACAGACACTTTTTACACACAGAACATTTTACACACAGACGCTTTTACACACAGACACATTTACACACAGACCATTTTACACACAGACACTTTTACACACAGAAGCTTTTAAACACAGAAGCTTTTACACACAGACCATTTTACACACAGACGCTTTTACACACAGACCATTTTACACACAGACGCTTTTACACACAGACACTTTTACACACAAACCATTTTACACACAGACCCTTTTACACACAGAAGCTTTTACACACAGAAGCTTTTACACACAGACGCTTTTACATACAGAGACTTTTACACACAGACTCCTTTACACACAGACGCTTTACACACAGACGCTTTTACACACAGACGCTTTTACATACAGACCCTTTTACACACAGACGCTTTTACACACAGAAGCTTTTACATACAGACCCTTTTACGCACAGAAGCTTTTACACACAGAGGCTTTTACACACAGACTCCTTTACACACAGACGCTTTTACACACAGACGCTTTTACATACAGACCCTTTTACACACAGACCCTTTTACACACAGAAGCTTTTACACACCGAAGCTTTTACACACAGACGCTTTTACATACAGACCCTTTTACACACAGACCCTTTTACACACAGAAGCTTTTACACACAAACACTTTCACACACAGAGACCGGACCCGTGAAGTCGCAATTTTACTTCAGTTTTTGACGTTCAACGTCTATTTCGTGCGAAAGGGTTGCGATGGGCCAAGTAAAATCGCAATTTTACTTCAGTTTTTGACGTCGAACCTCCATTTCGCTTAAGGGTTGCCCGTGACACCTCAAAATCGCAATTTTACCTCAGTTTTTGACGTCCAAGGTCCATTTCGTGCGAAAGGGTTGCGATGGACTAACTAAAATCGCAATTTTACTTCAGTTTTTGACGTCCAACGTCCATTTCGTGTGAAAGGGTTGCGATGGACTAACTAAAATCGCAATTTTACCTCAGTTTTTGACGTCCAAGGTCCATTTCGTGCGCAAGGGTTGCGATGGATACTTCAAAATCGCAATTTTACTTCAGTTTTTGACGTCCAACGTCCATTTCGTGCGAAAGGGTAGCGTTTCGTGGCGCTCCGGCGGCACCGCCCCCGCCTTAAGAGAGAGATAGAAAGAAGAGCGAGAGGAGATCTGCAGATAGATCTGCAGATGTGAAGGTGTGAAGATGTAGATCTGCAGATGTGAGGGTGTGAAGATGTAGATCAGCAGATGTGAGGGTGTGAAGATGTAGATCTGCAGATGTGAGGGTGTGAAGATGTAGATCTGCAGATGTGAGGTGTGAAGATGTAGATCAGCAGGTGTGAGGGTGTGAAGATGTAGATAGATGTGTGAAGATGTAGATCAGCTGATGTGAAGGTGTGAAGATGTAGATCAGCAGATGTGAGGGTGTGAAGATGTAGATCAGCAGATGTGAAGGTGTGAAGATGTAGATCAGCAGATGTGAAGGTGTGAAGATGTAGATCAGCAGATGTGAGGGTGTGAAGATGAGCAGATGTGAAGGTGTGAAGATGTAGATCAGCAGATGTGAGGGTGTGAAGATGTAGATCAGCAGATGTGAAGGTGTGAAGATGTAGATGTGTGAGATGTAGATCTGCAGATGTGAGGGTGTGAAGATGTAGATCTGCAGATGTGAGGGTGTGAAGATGTAGATCAGCAGATATGAGGGTGTGAAGATGTAGATCAGCAGATGTGAGGGTGTGAAGATGTAGATCAGCAGATATGAGGGTGTGAAGATGTAGATCAGCAGATGTGAGGGTGTGACGATGTAGATCAGCAGATGTGAAGGTGTGAAGATGTATATGACGGCTGCTTTTTTACGCAGAACCCTTCGCGGGCGCTCTCGGGAATTAAACATAGTATGGGGATGGACTTCACTCCTAAGATCTCTCAAACAAACAAAAAAACAGACAGAAACTGGTACCTGTATCTTTTCCACTTGAAGATGTTCCTGTCGGCAGCTGAAGAAGTTGACCCGAAGGCCAAACTCGGTGCTCCGACTGCCTCTCAACCTCAACCGGGGCGCTCGAAACTTCATCAGAAAGATGTCGGTTTTTCCAGCGTTGCTGTGCCCATCCAGGGAGCTAGACGTCTCACCAGCCACCCAGGCGTTGCCAATGGGGCCGACCTGCGCAAACTGGCTGCACGTGGCTGTGGCGCAGATGCAAATGGAAACTGAAGGAAACACTGATGAGAAACCCCAGTCAGCAAAGAGTGACATGGCACCATAAATCATACCAAATCAACAACTGCGTGCCCCACTGTAACAGGACGCAAGCAAAAAATAAAATCAACTCTATATATATATAACTATATAACTCATACTATCCTCTCAGACAAACCAGTCTGAACTTTCAAGTCTTTGTAGGCTGACAACGCTGATCTGGCTGAAACTTCCACATCTTATTTAAGTACAAAGAACTTTGAATTAAGATGCATTAAGTAATTGTTATGGTCAGATACCCTGCCAACCTGCCTTTTGTGCTCCATAAACACTCAACTTTCTCATCAATTTCATCAGGTACAGAACACTTGTTTCACCAAAAACTAATATACAATGTACAAGCACCAGCAGGATCCTACCAGAGTGATGGTGATTGATTCTCACGCACCCGTGGGTTTGATTCTTTTTAGGTTTCGGGCAGATGGACGCTGTTGGCAAGGTCTCAAGTCAGTCTTCAGGATTCGTCAGGATTTTCACGAGCTCCAAACATTCAAACATGATACCATTCTGTCGATTCAATCCACTTTAGTCCAAGGACATTGCTCAAACTTCCGCCAAATACCGGATTTTGACCTGGATTTTGACCTTGTAAAGGCATCCAACAGGTTGAGCAGTTAAATTTAAATGGTGATGACGAACATGGACACCGTAAAGAGTTCTGATGTTTTCCTCCATGGAAACAAATCGAAAACGAAGGACATCGCACTCCATCCGCCTGGAGGGCACGAGCCACATCATCGCCCTCACCACCGCGTTGGTGGGTCCATTGGTGGACACCTTCGCCATCAAATTTCATCAAAAAAATGTCCCATCCGCCAGCGTTTCTGTGTCCATCAAGGGAGCTAGACGTGTAACCAGCCACCCAGGCATGGCCATTCACATCCACCTGCGCAAACTGGTCAGCTGGGATATGTGGTGCCCCACAAATGCGCATGAAAAATTGATAGAAACACACGGGGAGAAACCCACTTGAGGCCAAGGGTAATGGACGAAAGCTAGCTATGGGCGGCAACGAGAGAAGACAATGCAAATGGAACAGCAGTGAATGGAATCCTACTAGTTTCAGATGGGTATCTGCTCCTTCAGGTTGTGACGCAGCCATTTATTGCATGAAAAGATGCAACAACAAACTTGTTGGCATGCGTGTTGAAATAAGTAGACAAAACCCGGGCACCATGATCTACAAATGTGTACTTTTGGAATGGGCGCATCTCACAAATCACACAGGGGGAGCTGCAGCTGAACATGCAATGCTTCGAACCATCGTGAAAGTCGTGAAACTCAGCTGATTTTCATGATTGGATTTCATTTGTCACTAAATTTGAAACCTGCTTGTCTTCTGTATCAATGAAAGGCGTTGGTGCGGATGGGGCGACACATATTAGATGACGCCAAACATACCTCCACTCCAGAACTGACAGAATATCAGAACAAGTGTATGGGTACAACTGTCTTTTGTCTGTTACTGATTCAAATTCACTTGAAACCAGGTCATTAAAATATGTTTCAATAAGCTTGTGTTTCACTGCAAAAATTCTCATGGCACAATGCCATACACCGTCCCAGCATGTCCTAGCAGTGTTTGCCAACGGTTGCCAATGTTTCTGCTACAATCCAACCGTTGCAAGGCTGCTGTTGTTGTTTTTGCCTACACCCCGAAAACCGGCCCAGCGTTTTTGCATTTTTTTGCGCTGTGATATGTTGGGGGGCGGGGGGGCGGGGTGGGGGGGTGTAATAACGTCCTGTGTCTACGTTATCATCGATTTTTTCTTCGGTGAGCACACTTCATGTTACGTTACACACTTCTGTTGCACTGCGGTGACCAAACTTCATGTTACGTTACACACTTCTGTTGCACTTCGGTGAACACACTTCATGTTACGTTGTACACGTATGAGTTTGTGATCCACTCCAAAGGTACAATAGATAGTTGCTGGAAGGCCTGTAAAAAGATGCTGCCAGGTAGCCAGTCTAGCCAAAGTCCAATGATCATGACATATGTCAAGGCTTGGCCATGGCGATACATACATCGAAATGCTGATGTGTGTGATATCACTGCAAAGACGGTCCGCAAGTTGAAGTGATGGAAAAGAATCGCTGGCGCTGTGGCGAAACGCAAAACCATCCAAAAAACGTAACGTTTTTTGAGGGTGCTCAACATGCATTTTTGAACTCCCACTGCAACAAAACAAGGAGTTTTCATAAATCCCAATGGAAATGAAATGCCAAAAAACACCACCATGATATAAACATGTGGCAAATGCCAAGTTTTCAACAAGGCGAAAACCACAATGAACATGAAAATTGATGAAAACGCTGGGCCGATTTCCGGGCCGTTCGGTTGTGTTTGCTGCTGTTGCTGCTTAATCTGGCGGGTCTGGAAATACCTGGTGCGGAATCGAATTCATGTGAAAGCCTCAGGTCATTTGTGGTTCCAGCCCCGCATCTGAAAGCATTGCTGAAGCAGATTAACTTCAGCTAGCGGAAGCTAGCTTTCGTTGATCAGCGGGGCCCCCATGGGAAAATCAAACATGAACCAAACATAACCAAACCATACCAAATGGTTAACTGCGTAACCCAAAGTATCAGGACGAAAGGAAGAAATCAAGCCAACTTAAATTATATATATAACTCAGAGATGGCGCTCACAAATTTCAATTGGCTGACAACCCTGCTCTAGGTGGAACTTGCACAGCTTAAGTGCTCGTTCTGGGCCTGGGTTCTGTAGCCATCCTGTGCTCATATGCAATGTTTGCTTCAGTCTGGAAATTGACTCAATGATTCCAATCCGGTCCCGCCAATAAACCACGTAAAACACGTGCAAAAGACCAGATACCTACAAAAAACAAGTTATGCCCAAAACACCCACGCACACTCTGTACCAACCGGATCCAACCTGAGGCAAGGTGAGAGGATCTTAAAAATGAGTGGGTCTGTATTTGTTTTCAAGGTTTCGCCGTGCAAGGACGCTGTCAGAAGAGTCAGCAGATGTACGGGGTTTTTTGACAATGTCATGATTCCAATCAATAGCTCCTCTATAATATATATATATATACACAGTACAAGTATAATTATAAGTGTAATATATATATATATGTATATGCTACAATATCATGAAATAATATATTATATTACTTTATATTATATTATTTTGAATGGAAAAGCACAACATTCGGCGCACTTCGATTACTCCGTCGTGTCTACCAAGCCTGGCCCACATGATGCTGCTACTGCTGGTGCTCCTCCCACTGCTGCTCCTACTGCTACGATTGCTACTGTTATGCCGCTGCTACTGCTTCTGGTAGTGGTATTGTTGTGGTATGCTGTGGTGGGGTATACTGTTGGTGTGGTGGTAGTATTGCTGTTGTGTGGTGGTGGTATGTTGCGGTAGTGGTGCTGTGGTGGTACTGCCGGGATGATGATTATTGATGGTCTGTAACTCGGAAGTCTTTCTATACAGCTTTCTTTGCAAACAATATGCAAACGACAGCATGAAAAGAGCTCAACTTCAGCACGCAATAATTAAGTGTAAAGAATATGCACCAACATGTATACCAACTAAACCCAGCCCGTGCTAACAGTGCAAGATACTCACAAGGGCATGGAATTTGAGCGTTTCAACATGTTCAAGTTTTTTGGCGCATGAATGTTGTTCAGTCTCGAGACAATCCATCTTGACAAGAAGGTCAACAGCACTTTCATAAGCTCAAGAAACCATGCGGACCATGCTCCCAATCTGTCGATTTAATCGCGCACTCTGTCGACTTAGCCTGGTTTATTGTGAATCTGGTCCAAAGATGTCAAAAGGCATCGGTTAAACTTCCAACAAATACGAGATATCGACCTTGTAAGGGCACCCACCAGATTGATTCATTTAAATTGTGATGCCACTCCACCTGACTAGGAAAATGGACCTCGCAAGAGGATCTAAAGTTTTTCCATGTTTTTCCTCCATGGAAAAGATTCGAAAACGAAGTCGCACCCCAATCCGCCTGCAGGCCACGAGCAAAGTCAGAGTCCTCACCCCCGCGCTGGCGCGTCCACAGGTGCACGCCCTGGGCATCGAATTTCATGAGGAACATGTCAGAGTACCCTGCGCTGGTGTGCCCATCCAGTGAGAATGATGTAGAGCCAGCCACCCAGGCATTGCCAACGTCGTCCACCTGCGCAAAGATAGACAGTTGAGCTTTGCAGTACGTCGCAGATGCGCGTGGAAATTGAAAGAACAACTGAGGGAGAAGCCCATCAGACAGGGAAAAATGAAGTGAAGATCAATGATAACGCCAAACCATTGCAAATGCAAAAACTATGAAAAACAAGGAAAAACTGCATGCCTCATTGTGCCGGGATGAAACCAAGAAATCTCTGTATTTGCAGGTTTCAGCAGGGGATGTTACTTATCCCAACTAGACTGATAAACCTATGGGGCAAAACAATAACAACCGTTAAGCACCGCGGCCCAACCCTTTTTGACTGAGCCGCACAGCTGTCATACATAGCTATATTACAGTATGTTTTACATGGGGTGCAAATACACCCCCCGCAGGTGAGCCGGACACGGCAAGGCTGCCCATTTACCAGGGCGAGGCTTTTAAAGCCTGCCTTACCGATCCAACTCTTTGCAAACCCGAGGGAAAACATTCAAAAGTACAGCGGCTATATACAATCAATCGTCAATGCAAGCAGTGTCAAAACTTATCCCTCTTCCCATTCGAGACGGCCATGCCTGATAACCTTTTGGTACCAGCGCCCATGCCACTTCTGCCACTCATTGGTGAGCTGTCGATCATCTTGGGAATGACTTTGCTGAGGGCGATTGAGCCACTGACTTGCTGACGTGGATGATGAGGCAACTTCTACACTTGTGGATGTTCGGGCAACCGGTTTGGCGGTGCCTTTCTTTGAGGGTCCTTGGCCGTAAGCTCCAGTCTGCTCAGCTTTGCGCTTGGCCTCGTTCTGTTCGCGTGCCCTGTCAGGCTGTTTCTTTTTCTCCTCAA